TGGCAATGTATTGAGCCGGCTTTTTTGACAGCAATTGATGCTATTGTACCGTACAAGCGAAAGGGAGAAAGAGCAGACACAACTATTTTTTGCACACATTCGACAAAGTATCAGTTGGTATGCGAACTCACTGTGTGTGTATTGACTGTGTGCGGTACAAACAGCGCGCTAATGCTTTAAAAACAAAAACTGATATCTATCGCTAGAGCAAATGTCAATTTTGTTTATTGTCTCTCAATTCAATTTGAAAATCTGGATGTTTTCTTCTAATGCAAGAGATGTAAAATCAAATCTCTACAAGCAAACATTTGTTTCATTTATTTCGATGAAGAATACAAGCAATATCGTTGAAAAATTCAATCGCAATCAATTAAAATGTTTATCATGTTCAGAATTGATGTGTTTCAATTTGATGTTTATGGTTCGAACTTCATGCGTGTTGTATGCATTGAGAATAACCATCGGTATAAGTCCATTTGATCCTATAGATTTAGGCTTATTTACTGAAAATGGCTTAAAATTATCAAAAACTCCTTATTGTATCTCATTACGTTTGTAGACAATCACGCTTGATTTTCGACAGATCCCATTTTCTTCCATGACACTTCCCAAACTAGTCGTTTACTCATTTTCATCAGCTGAAGCGTCATTTTTTCAAACTCCCATAAATATGTTTACCAAAAACTTTTATCGGTTCAAGCGAAAGTATTATAAGATTTCAGTTTGATTTGGAATATAGCGGAATTTTTGAACAATCCTTTGAAAAGTAAGAAAAACCTTTGAGCAATTCAAAAAAGTAAAACCCTTGAACAACTTCACTTATTATTTTGGACTATTTATTTATTGAACTCATTTAAAATAGAATAAGTAATTTCATCACAATAGCAAACCCAATATCAATCAGGTAATGTTTGGTAGCAATGAAATTGATTACAACTCTGACATATGCTACTTTCCGATTTTGTTGAAATGCAGTCTGTATATTAAATTTGTCGGCGATATATCGTCTGGTATCAATGGGTCATCATGAAATTGAATGGTGATGACATCATTCATCTGGACTTCAGATTTTAGTGGAAGGCCAATTGCACAATTTTCCGGGGGATTTTGCTTCAATCGAATTTCGTACAAAAATCCAGGTCTAATAAGAAGCGGTGTGGATAACGGAAACTCATTACTTGTCAATTTTGCTTCCCCATTGTACATCACCACTTCTTTTTTAGAATCATAGGGAACGGACATTTCGACTATAGTAATTTCTGTTGAAACCTCTTCACACTTAGTGTATTTTCCGTCACGGTAGATTTTAATGTATTGAATAGTGAAACCTATTAGCAAAAATGGCTCGTTGCTGGAGAACTTGGTTGTTTCCAAATTTTTGATAAAATATGGTTTAATCACTTTATATGTCGAGAGCAATCGATTGCAATAAAACCATTCATTCGTTTCCCATGGATTTGAATCGCTGCGCTTCTCGCGATTTCCATTGAACATTGCCGCTTGGAATTCTTTGTTTGTAATCATTTGAATGATGTCCACAAGTTCGTTGCCCACGAACAGATGTCCATATGCTGGCATCAGCGCTCCAAATTCTTCGAATGACATCGATCCAAATCGAATACCATAAAGTGAATCACCGAGTTTAACTTGCATCAGTTCCTTGGTTAAATCGCCCTCCTCGACAGTTGCTTTGACCCAATACATGCATGCCTCGAAGAGCTCGATCTCTGTGCACGACAACCAATTCAGTCTCAAAATCTCGACCAAGACTTTTTGATCGCATGACAAAAAACCAGTTGACTTGAGCACAGCATTTGTGTTGAGTCCGATAACCGTTTCACACGACTGCTTAAGATCGTCTTGGTTGAAGAGTATTGCTAATCCATAGTTTCGGCAAACGTTGTCATCGTTTAGATTGTTTTTCAGGAATTTGGTGCACACTGTCAAACACTCGGTCACATTGTACATTTCACCGAGATTCATCACTGCGGCGACGTTTTCCATCGTTAGCTTAACTTGGCCAAAGTAGAAAAACTGGAGAAATTCCTTGAAGGCAGCAGCCGATACATCGCCAACCTTCACCGTATCCATCTCTTTCCATGATCCACTGAACATTTTGGCGTAGACATCGCTTCCGGTCATCAAGTGGGCTTTATGTGCCGGGACTCGTTCGTTGTCATCATTTGACTCGAAGACAAAGTGAACATCGGCCACTTCAGAGTTCAAGTACAACTTTTCTCCAATCGTCGCAAATAGTTGAGTTGCGTAGTCACTGTTTAGTGGATCAAAAACTGGCATTATTGTTGACTGTGTTCCTTCCTTACGACAAATGTACTGCAAAATGAACGACACAATGTGTTACATATTTCATTGATTTGAAATTGGACTTGAGTTGAATTAGAAAACATTCAAACAGAAATTCACTTTCACTCACTTCCAACTGTGGTTGAGGTTATGCTCGATGTTTGTGTTCAAATTTACCGGTTTCCAGAGAGAAAATGAATGTTCGGCTGCAACATGACATTT